TGTGAAGCACTCCCCTCCCCTCACTTTATTAAAATGCTTGGACTCAACTTACCGAGGTAGAGCACTGACCTCTGTCAGTTACGCAGGTGGCTCTGGGAATGCCACAGCACTTAGGGTGGGTGGGGAGAGGACTGTGGGCCTGAGAGTAGATTCCTTGTGCCCCGTGACTCTGGGAATTTGTGACTGTGCGATCAGGAAGTGATAGGGTGTAGCTGGGCTTTTGGGCAATCACTGTGTCTGGCTTCAGAGGCTCAGAGTTCCACGCTCACATTGAGAAGCACACAGATCCTTTGTGTGGTTCATGCATGGGTAAGGAACTGTGGGCTCACCCTGGGTCGTTTTTTCACCTTGGCAGGGAGGGGCTAACTCTATCATCACACCAGCTGTTGAATTCATACCCTGCCCGTGCTAAAGATAGAGGTGATTTACCATGCCAAATTTGGGTGTCGCCCTGGGCTCTTTCCCCAGGGGATCCACTCTCACTCAGCCTCATGAGTCTGCTCTGTTCATGGAGAGAGCTGAGACAGTCCCAGAGCCAGCTGCCTGTCACTGCTGCCCCTTGGCAGTTTGATGGTGGTGGAGGGGAGCACCTCACAGGCCATAGTGGGTGCCCCGCCCCCTGCCAACTCTTCAGGCCAGACTCAAAGTCAGTGGGGGCTATAGATTTATCCCTCTAAAAAAATCCCCAAGTTGTGTGCATACTTGAGCTACAGCAGCCTCTACACACCTTATTAAGAATGTGTTTCCTTCCTGCTGGCCCCTGGGTGCCCTGTGGTGCCCTGTGGGCTGATGGGGAGAAAACAGTGTGCTCCGGAGGATCTCTATGGACCTGAGTGGAAAGAAAGGGCCATCAAAGAAGGATTTACTCTTCTCTGAAGGGAGGAGAGAGCATCCACATTGCTTATGGCCGTGTCCAAATACCAACTGAGTCTATGGTCACAGAAGGCTTCCATAGCCTTGGCAGCCCATGGCAAGAGCCTTGGGTGATCACTGATGTCATAAATAAGAGTGTTAATTATTAAAGGAACAACAGAAGTCACTGTACACTTACTCCCCATATAGGACCTCCGTCCCTAATGAGTTGTACTATGAGAATCAACTGCAAATTTTGTTCCCAAACCATACTCTACATGTTGTGTATGTGCATGGGTGTAAACTGGTGAAGTCTATGCTTAGCATGGAATTGGCCCTCTATATATAAAAGCAAACTAAAAATGAACCATAATGAAGGAGGAGATGGAAGAGGGAGAGGGAGGTGGGATGGGGGTTGTAGGGAGGGTGGGTATGGGGGAAAGAACCACTGTATTCCTAAAGTTGTATTTATGAAAAAATTTATTCATTAAATAAAAATTTAAAAAAAGAAAATAGTGTGCTCTCCCTTCACAGGGTTAGGTGGGCACCCTGCCCCCAGCTAGCGCTCCAGGCCAGATTCAAAGTCAATGTAGTCCACAAAGATCTCCTTCAGGAAATATCACCAGAGACACACAGGTTGCCACAGATTCCTAATCCTCTCACCCACTCCAAGAAGTCGGCGTCTCCCCTAGCCTCTGGCTGTAGGAGTCACTGGTGGTATTCCCACTTGCTGCTGAGTGTTTGCACTGTCCACGCTGTGCCACAGTGTTTCTCTTCTTGCTGAATTATTTCCACTGCAAACTTCTCTCCAACTCTCTTCTGGGACCATGGTTACTTTGCTTTTCTTCTATTATCTTCCCATGATCAAAATCAGCACATCTTTTCCCTATTCAGCCATCTTGGGCTCTATAGTAAACAACTTTAACCAAAAAATAGACTTTAACATCAAAACTATTAAAACAGACAAAGGGCATTATGTAATGATTAAAGGCTCAATTCAACAGGAGGATGTGACTCCAGTAAGTATATATGTACCCAATGCCATGGTGCATGACTGTTTAAAACAAATGTTAATAGATCTAAAGAGAGATATAGACTCTAATACAACAATAATGGGGGATTTCAGCACCCCACTTTCATCAATGGACAGATCAACTAGACAAGAAAATTAACAAAAAAACCAACAGAGCCAATCTACACTGTGGACTAAATGAACCTAATTGATATCTACAAAACATTTCATCCAATAGCTACAGAATTCACATTCTTTTCATGAGTGCATGAAATTTTCTCTAGGATACACCATATGCTGGGCTATAAAGCAAGTCTCAACAAATATAAAAAAAATTGAGATCATACCATGCATCTTTTCTGAATACAACGGAATGAAACACAATGGGATGGAAATTAACAACTTAATTAACAAATTAAATTAAGAAACTATAGACTGTGCAAACACATGTAAACTGAACAACATGCTCCTGAATGAACAGTAGCTCATAGAAAAAAATCAAAAAGGAAATTTAAAAGTTGGAAAGGCATCAAATAAATGATCTAACAATGCATGTTAAATACCTAGAAAAACAAAAACAAACCAAACCCAAAATTAGTAACAAGAAACAAAGAATTAAAATTGGAGAAGAAATAAACAAAATTGAAACAAAAATGGATACAAGATCAGTGAAATGATGAGTTACTTTTTGAAAAAAAAAAAAATTGGTACACCATTGGTCCAACTAACCAAAAATAGGGAGAATATCCAAATTAATAAAATCAGAGATAAAAAGATGTTACAATGGATACCATAGAAACAAAAACAATCATCAGGAATTATTACAAAGAGCAATATGCCAGCAACCTGGAAAACCTAGAAGAAATAGATTCCTGGACATATACAATCTGTCAAAATTGAGTCATGAACATATAGAACCCCTAAATAAATCAATAACCAGGGCCAAAATTGAATCAGTAATAATGACCCTCTCAACCAAGAAAAATCCAGGGCCAGATAGCTTTCATTTTTGAATTCTACCAAACCTTTAAAGAAGAAGCAATTTCAGTTTATCTCAAATTATTCAAAAGAATAAAATGGGAAAGAATCCTTCCAAACTCCTTGTATGATGACAGCATTACCTTAATTCCAAAACCAGAAAAATATACAACAAAGAAAGAACTATGGGCCAATACCTATGATGAACAGAGACACAAAAATCCTCAATGAAATACTAGCTAATCAAATCCAATCCAACAACACAGAAAGACCACTCACCCAGACCATGTGGAATTTATCCCTGGTATGTAGGGGGGTGGTTCAACATGTGTAAATCAATAAATATTGTAAATCACATTAACAAATTGAAGAGTGAAAGCCATATGACTATCTCAATAGATGCAGAGAGAGCATAATAAAATACAATACCCTTTCATGATTAAGCAAAAAAAAAAAAAAAAAAAGTAACCAAATTGGGCATAGAAGGAACGTTCCTCAACACAAGGCAATGTATGACAAACCCACAGGGAGCATCATACTGAGTAGGGAAAATGTGGAAGCATTTCCACTAAGATCTGGAACCAGATGCAACTGGAAACCATTATGCTTGGTGAAATAAGCCAGCCCCCAAAAGACAAATATCTGTGCTTTCTCTTATATATAGTAGTTAATACAGGATACAAAGAAGTATAGGAAGAAAATGGACATCTTGTGAGTTGATTTTTATTTTTAGTCGTTGTTTATATTCCTGTGGAACTGTGGTCTTCCTACTTTTTATTTGTTTTATATTATGGTTACTGGTGAATTAAGCTTGTGATAGTAGAGGGGACTGAAATTATGTATTTGCAAAAATTAAATTTAAAAAAAGGAAGAAAGGAAGGGGATTGAAGGAGTGAGTGAAGTATGATTATATTCATAGAATTTCACCTATGAAATGCATGTAATCTGTTATTTTTTCTTAGCAAATTAAAAAATAAGGTTACTGTGCTAAAATAAGGCACCGTGGTCTCTTACCTGGCTTCTCTAGTGATTGTAAAGTTTGATTGGTGCATGAATGGCTGCTCAAATACGTGTCTCTGTGGGGAGGTACCTGCTGGAGCACCTAGCTTAGCTGGCATGTTGTTCTGCCTCCCCTCATCTTTTATTTTAGAAAGTTTCTTATGGAAAATTTTGGTTGTATAGGAAATATTGAGTTAAGCCAATTAAGCCAATGTAGTCTTCACTCAGGTGAAACAATTGCCAATGAATGAGATTTTCATCTATGGGCAGCAAGAAGTTTCTTTTGCTCTCCTGGAAGTCTCCTGCTATGGAAGCATTGTCCTGGGGGTGCAGCCAGGACGAGCACACTTGAGAATCCTGCATTACTGGGCTGAGGAGCATAAGAGCCTGGAAGTTGAATGACACTGACCCCAAAGATCTCAAGGCCTAGTTAGCTGTTGTGTTCTCCTGATGGGTTATTGTCAAGGACACAAGACGCTTGACACCTTAAACCATCTTTACCTTCACAAAATTTGTCCTTGTTTGAGTTCTTTCGGCTCTCTGCAAATATGGAGGCTCAAGTGTGCAGAGGGCAAGAGAGGGGCCTCCAGAGTCAGCCCACCTGTGTCTGTGTCCTGGCTCTTCCACTGATCAACACTGAGGAGACCACTTAACCTCTCTGGGCCTCCATGTCCTCATCAGGGAGGTGGGGATGATGGAAATTCCTGCATCACATGATTCTTGAGAGGACCAAAAAAGTAATATATATGAACCGCTTAGAATAGGCCCTGGCACCTGTCCAAGACTCAGGGACAATTTTTTAAAAGATTTATTTTATTTATTTGAAAGACAGAGTTACAAAGAGAGGTAGAGACAGAGAGAGAGGTCCTTCATCTGCTCGTTCACTCCCCAGATGACCACAACTAACTGCCAGAGCTGCACTGATCCGAAGCCAGGAGCCAGGAGCTTCCTCTGGGTCTCCCACACAGGTGCAGGGGCCCAAGGACTTGGGCCATCTTTTACTGCTTTCCCAGGCCACAGCAGAGAGCTGGATCAAAAGAGGAGCAGCTGGGACTAGAACTGGTGCCCATACGGGTTGCCAGTGCCTCAGGCTAGGGTGTTAATCCTCTGCGCCACAGCGCTGGCCCCTCAGTAACACTTTTTTTTTTTTTTTTGACAGGCACAGTCCCCTTTGGTCTGAAACTTGCATCAAGGAGACATTCCCTGCCCCGCAGCAGGCCTCTTTAGGCCCTTGCGATTACTTGAAATGAGCCAACTATGAGCATCAAGAACGCGAATGCTTTCAGGTCACACATGGCAGCTCCTCTCCTGGTTCCACCTCCTCCAGCACAAATCTCCAGCAGACCAACGATGGAGGGACAGCTGCCCCTGTGGTTCAGCAGACTGCCCGCTGGACAGTTCCCAGGGTTCCTGGGGCCGTCAGAGGGGTCTGGCAATCTCCAGCACCTAAGGGAGGGCCAGGACACATCCTCCTCAAAAGAGGGGTATTTGGGAATTCAGCCCCTCTCCGCTGAATTTCGTTCTTCTCTCCAGACGTGAGATTCTAAAACTTCTCAGTCACGGGAGGATCTAGGTGCTCCAGCACATAGTCCGCAGCCCCTGATTGAAATAAACCAGGGCATCTGAATTTCCTCTGATGAGATTCCTCTGTCTGGGGGATACTTGAGCTCATCTCTCAAAAACTTAAAATGTAACCCCTTGCTAGTGGCATGGCTACTGCTGGCTGATCATGATCAGGGGAGGCGGAGGGCCTTAAGCAGGAATAGAGAGCTGGACTACCAGTCTTTCGGGACGGTAATGATTGAAGGCCCCTGTTTTCTGCAGGGACTTGCATCTTGAAGGTCCACTCCAGCTCTCGTGGGAGGGATCTGTGATAACAGAAGAATGTGGCATGGAGACCACACTAAATGATATACTTCTGTGACCTGATTTAGCTTCAGGCTGAGTCCTGTCCTTTCCCCATCTCCCTTTCACGCACCCTGCATTCTCATGTTTTTTCCCCTGCACCCATGCCTGGCCAGCCTCTCACTCACCCACCCACGAAGCATGTCCCTGATATCCTATCTTCCTACTATTGCTTTCAAAGCATCAAATCAAGTGCTAAGGAGACAGGCAGAACTTACTCTCAGGCTGTGTATGTGACTTTGGGTAGTCCAGAGTGAAGGAAAGCATTTGGGGCCCACAGAACAGAGCCTCTGCATTTTTCACCCTAGACTATGGAACTGAATAGGAGGTGGGGCCCAGCCCTCCCTAAAGGACAGGATCATGGTCATTGTGCAATTCCCAAAGCTCGGCCCAAAGGAATCTGTGGTTATCTCTCTGAATAAGGGTGCGAGACAGTTTTAATGTGTCTGACTTGGACATCTTGAGAAACCACATATCCACCTGCCATTCCCTGAACTGGGCTGTCCTCACATTACCTCTGGTGACAGGTGAATAGGGCATTCCAGCTGCCAGACCTTAACTGTGGGTTACTGAGCACTTGGCTGTCTCTCTGTCTGAAGGTCTTTGCCATGAAACCTGAGTAGTCCCCAGTCTCACCTTTACCCATTGCATTCTCTAAGTAACCACATCAGCCAATTAAGCAGCCTCCTTACTTGCATTCAGGCAATTTGATATTCTAGCACAAATGTGCAGCCTTAACTTCACCCATGCTACCCAGGATATGCAGTATTCAGCATTGTAGGCACTTGGGTTTGAATTCCAGCACATAACCTTGGGTTAATTATGTAAATATTTCTAAGCTTCAGTTTCTTTATCTGTAAAAAGGCACTATTAATAGTGTCTCTATAATAGGGTTAGTATGATAACCAAAAGAGATAATGCATGTAGAGGAATTTGCATGTAAAGGAATGCTCGGCTCAGTACATCTTATTTTTCATTATTTGTATTCATTTACTCTTCTCTCACCTGCATCTAAGTAGAGAAGTAAACAGAACACCTTAAGTTATGCTTCTGGAAGCCTATCATTTGTAGAATGATCTATTTTTAAAGTTACACATTAATTCAAGGTTTTATTAAGTAGCTCAGTGCCTTGGGCAACAGATTACTTATAAATAGTATAATATTTAGTGGCTCCTTCATTTTGCAGCCAGGCATTATTAATGGTCCATGACTTAGAATCAGGATGCAGTTTGAATACACACCCCACATGCACGCATCCATGTTATATACCCATTGAATAACAGAATGAGAACAGCAAAGAGGTGAGCTAATCTACAAATGTTTTTGGGAAAGAAAGATCAAAAAGAAAGAGGAAGGAGACTGAAGTTTTCTTTTATCAAAGAATGTAGAACATATTCCAAGTGTTGATGAATTGGTTTAGTCCTGCCCAATGGATCATGTGATTGCCAAAGCATACTTTCGGACACCCTCCACCCCCTTAGTAAATGTAGGCTTAGTAAATTAGGCTCCTGGATAGTTCGCTGAATCTTTCAGTTGGCAAAAAAAGCAAGAAAGTCCCTGTGGCAGGTCTAATCATCAGGAGCATGGGTGGGATCCACAGAGATCCTGCAGATCTTTGCTGTGCCGTGTGTGTGTGTGTGTGTGTGTGTGTGTGTTTCACAGTGGCCAGGCCAGGTGTTGGTTGGTAAGAAGGAATCAGAGAGACATTGTCCACACAATTACGTGAAGAGTACCTGATGCAGTGCAATAGTTAAGGCTTGGAAGACCGTCTATTGTTCACATCGTGCTTTGGCAGAAGTTCCTTCCATCACAGTTTTTCCCCACTAAAGGTCTCTTGGAATTATTAGAGACATGGTTCTTCCTGGCCTCCAAGCCTCTTTGGCAACTTGAAGCCTGAAGGCCTGGACCAGCGCCCCCAGCCCTGCCCCTTATACATCACTGGGGAGGCTCAGGCTTCAGTCACCTGCCAGGGACCTGGCAAAAGTCTCCTGTAGGAGCCAAGCCTATCCACAAACCATTCACTTGCTTCCAGGTACAGATTCTATTCCCTTTACCAAGATAAGGCATGTGGAAAAGTCCTCTGGCCAGGGGGTCTGATTGTTTGGTTGTTCTGTGGTGCACATACCTTGGGGCATTTCCATGGAAAATTCTGATTGCCACAACACTGGTTTTGACCTCTGGGTGATTCTTTGATTCTTCCCACAGTTTTTTTTCTCTCTGCTTTGCTGTGATACCTTAAGTCACAGAACTTTACAGCTGGCACAAACCTTAAAGACACAGTGGTCAAACCTCATAGAGGTGCAGGAAGAAAACCAAGACCAGGAATGTGAGCAGTCACACCGCCTGACAGGGCAGAGACCCCCAATCTCACCCTGACCTTGGGTTCCTTCTCTGCCATGGTGCACGTCTGCCTCTGTATCTAGTGACCAGGCTCAAGAGGTGTCCAGGCCTCTCTGCCCTGCATTGCCCAAGACACTGACCATATTCTAGAAAATATGGACAAGCTGGAGCCCCGGTAAGTGGCCTGTCAGGGCTGCAGTCGCTCGGTGCTGCTTTCTGGGAGAAGACGGCAAGTGACAAACTGTGCGGAGGCTGCTGGACAGCAGACCCCGCGTTGTACCCCGTCACACACTGGCCCAAACACTCCTCCCTAGAATGCATGCGGAACTGTGGCCATGCGTACCAGCAGGCCTCTCCTTCCCCTCAGCTTCTTCCAGAATGCAGTCTGTGGCGTTACCTCTCATCAGCCCTCCACACTACGGGAGTTGCTCCCTTTCTGTGTCAGTTAACAAAAGCAGTGGTGAAGCATGTTGTTCAGAGATGATAATCCCTGCTAATTCCCCGTACTGACCCAGGCCTTGGAGGGCCTGCTTACAAGAGTCTCAGATCTGTGACCCTCAAGGTGAGGGCGCAAGGGAAGGAGGAATCCTGTGCAGTATATTTGCTAGAAAAATTGAGCTGCTTCCTGCTTTGCCCTGTGACCCTCCAAGCCCAAATCCTAAAGGATCTCACTTTTCACCGACCCGACATACGGCAGGGCTGCTAGAATCAGGGAAATGCCTAGAAACCCTGGCCCTGGTGTCCCTAGGGCCTCTCCTGTGGTCTGGGGGACATGTCTGGGGGAACAAGCAACACCAACCGGAAGTCCCAACCCCACCTGGCACTGACTGGGTGCAGGATGAGCAGGTCCTCCTCTACAGAAACTGCCCGGCGTCCTGGTGTCCCACAGCCTCCTGAGGACAGGGTGTCTGTTTGCTGAGCCGTGGGCTAATGCTCTATGTCCACTGCTCCTGGCGATCAGCCGACAAGGTGCTCCGTTGTGTCCTCTCTGAGAGGAGGAGACGTGCACTCAGGGCACAGCAGAAGCACAATCCCAAGACTGGAAAGGCAGAGCAGGAGGGTGTAGGGGAATTCATACAAACTTAGAGCTTGGAAAGGCCTCCGCAATGCCTATCTCTCAGGGAGGGTTTACCATGGGTGAGTTGGGAGCATGTGAGATTAGGAGACAGAGATTGAGGGAGAGAGAGAAGGGTCTGGTACCGTGGTGGGAAAAGGGGTCCAGGTGATGGAGCAGTGTGTGGAGTAGGATGCTGCCTTTAGTCACACATCATGCACTTAAACCACACTGGTGTAACATTGGACAGTTAAATTAATCTCTGGGCCTCATTTCCTCAACTGTAAAACAGAACTTTAAATACCATTGTCACAGGCTAGTCGGCAAGAGTAGATGAAACAGTATACAAGGAGGTACTCAACACACAGCACTCCATACGTGTTGATTCCTTTCCTGCTGAGCAGAGGAGACCTGGGCATCCTCATTTCCCAAGGTAACTAAGAAATATTGGGTCTGCCTGCTGCCCCTCCCCGCCCCAAGGGCCCCAGACCAAGCCTGCAAGGCTGTTATGCTGCAGACAGCTCATTTACATGCTGAACTTGGCAACTGCTTAGCTTAGGAATGGAATGTTCCAGCCCCACTGATTGCATTTTCAAATCACTTTCCCCAGAGCAGAACCCCAGCGAGGGCTTGGTTCCACCTATGGGCCACTGGTTATGGAACATTGCAATGGGAGAGAGGGAAAGGCCAACCCAGCCTATGCCACTCTCTGCACCTAAAAGCCAGGATAAGATGCTGTGGGAGGGGCTTGGGGCTGGGGTTAGGGAGAGTGCGGGACTCCTGTTCTGGGGGCACAGATGTAGTGCTAGTGGAGTCTCATTCACTATTTCTTACCCAGTTGACTACCTCAGGCTTCTGTCCCTGGGAAGGAGAGCTAGCAACACCCCAGTGGTCAAACTTAAGGAATTTGTCCACTTCACCCCAGTGTCCACTTGCTGCAATTGTCTTTCCTGACGAGGCCAGCAGAGGGCGCTAGGAGCCACACAGGGGAGGCTCTGATCCATTAGTCTCACTTGTAGATGGAACAAGCTGGAGTGATCTGAGAGAGCGGTCCCCGCTACCCTGCACAGAGCACCCTCTAAGATCAGAATTCCTTACACTGATGGTAGGTCTCAAGGTCCAATTCTTACCTGGAGAGGAAGCAGAGGGACTTGCATGTAGCTCAGAAAACTAACTGAGGAAACGGAGGCTCAGAGGGGTTAAGCCACTTGTCTGACATCATCCAGCTCATAGGTTTGAACCTGGTTGGCCTATCTTCAAAGCTGGGGCTGTTATCAACGTGGCTGTTCTAGGTGATTGTTAAT